CCCAAAAATACCATCGCAGTGTTTGAAGAACAATAGTATAAGTCTATTAAGTGAAAAACTGAATATTTGAATGGGCAATCCCCAAATGTGGTTACCTTTTTAAAAATTAATGCAGAAGAATACACTGGATGTGAAATATCCCATTATATCGCATTCAACATGTAAGAATAATTTTTTTCTCAATAAATCACTTTAACTGTGATCAAATTAAGTAAACGTTTTGACCAATTTATAATATATACTTCCCCGTTGCAAAAGCCTAACTAATAAGTAAACAAAATATAGCGTTTATTGTAATATCGGACGACAAGTTACAAACACGCACGAGTCGGACCGACTGATAAATGGCACAGTAGGTATAGTGTCCAGTTCGGATTTTTTTTTTTTTCTCTCGAGTGGATCGGTTAATTTTCTTTCCGAGTGTAGACTCGGTTTTTCAAAGTGAAATTACCTACGATCAAATCTATTTACATTAGTACTCTTATTTCGCAAGTCTATCAGTTTTTTTTACTACTACCCAACGTTTTTTTTTTAATGATATTCAAGTTTTGAACACAAACTAAGCATATGTGTCTTCTATATATTTCATTTAAAATAAAGTTTATTTACATTGTTTGGGTTTTTTTTTTAGTACTACATTCATATGGTCTGTTTTTTTTTTAAAGAAAATATGATCATGATATTAGTCATTCGGAACCTTTTAAAAAACCGGCAATAATTCATATTCATTTTAAGACCCCCATAACATATATCTATAATGTTTATTAATTTTAACCCTGTTTTTAATGTGATGCCATCCATCGCTCTGTATGTACATTTCACCATACACAACCTTGCAGCATTATGGAATCATAACGCTCAATAGAACTAACGACAGGAGACTCATAATTTTGTTATGTTTTAACTTGTTAATTGTGTGTGTTTTATTTATGTCATTTGCCACACTCTTAAGGTGTTAATGCAGCAAAGCTTAAATAAAAAAAAATAGAATACACACTACAACAAGTAACTTATTAGCTGAATGAAATTCCTTTATAATAACGAAAAGGGCACCTAAATGGTAAGAAAATTAAATCCTTGTCAATTGTAATAAGAAAAGGAGACAACAAGGAGGCAATAGAAATTATAAGTTCTAAAACTGACAACCCCATGGCAAAACAGCAAACGTCGAACAGACAACCAATATACAGAAAACTAAAGACTGAGCAACATGAACATTATCGAAAACCGAGGGTGAACTCATGTGCTCAAGAAGAGTCAGCACACACACCGATATTCGTTACTCCACATAGAATAACAGTTAGCTTAACTTAACATGAAAAATTATCAAAACCATCATAATTTAAATTTATTTAAAAAAAACTGTCTCTAATATTGTCATATAATACGCACTTCTTTATTGTGTTAGCATGTTCGACGTTAAATATGATTCTGACTCAAACGTGTTTTTAAACTGTCGGAAATGCGTAGTTTGTTTTGTCCGTTTTCTTTCACAGCATTAATTCTGTTCAAGTCGTGCCCTTTTGAAGTTATAGTTATTTAAAACAAGATCAAAGATGTTGTTAGTGTCTCTTATTTTGGATTGTATATATTGTCATCGAGTATACGGTATTGTTTTAAAATACCACACTCTCAAAATTTGTAGTGATTGATTATCAGCCCATACGAAAACTCTTTTATAAAAACGTCCAACATATAAATTTCGAAGTCTGATACTCTGATTCAGCACAGATTTCCATTGTTTAACTGAAACAGATGTCCAACTAAAGTCACCATTTAAAACGGTCATATTATGATTGTATCTTTCTACACCGTGACATGAAAAAGCGAGATGCCCGATATGTATGTCCAAGATATGTATTATATTCCACATTTGAATTTAAAAGGTCCCAACTTTCGAAACAAAAATTAGTTCTTTCAATAGAGGTCGGTCTGAAATGCACGATTTTTGATCTTTCAGCATTTACCATCATATGGTTATCAGCACACAAAGTAGAAAGAAAGTCCAATAGTAGCTGAAGATCACCAGGGGAACTGGCTATAAGAATAATATTATCTGCGTATAACATTAGCCCTAGCTAGTTTGTCTCCATCCATTTTTATACCAACCTGAAGTGTTTTGACGACGTTTTCAAAATCGTTGATGCTGAAATTGAATATCAAGGGAGAAAATCATGAAACATCATTGCTTTAATGCACGATTTACAGAAAACAAGTCTAGTGAAAATCCATTTACACGCACACAACAACGTACATCATTGTATAAAGATCAGAACTTGTTCTTCGGTCCTTACGAAAATCGTTCTGTTTATAATTTAAAACATCATTTTCTTCTCACCAAAATACTAAGCAGTCATTTCAATTATTATAGTAAATTTTGTATATAACTGGCACCAGTGTAGGTTCGTTGCAAATAACATGTGTCCAGAAAGCATTCTCATACGGATTTATAGCATACCGCATTGAAATTTAGTTACTTCAAGATAAAATTTCATCGTAGTCAATTTGCAAATCAAAGTAAATTCTAGGTTATTTTCATACATGAAAATAAGTGTTTCTTCCGCAGATTGGAGTTTCGGTGTGCTTTTTTTACGCGTGAGGCAGACGCCATTCAAGGGACCAAGTTTTGCTATATATATTCCATCACATTTAAGTCTTGTTACTTTATTGGATTGTGCTCAGATAGAACTTGCACAACTAAAGAGTTTACTTCAATTTTTCTTCACAACAGGACTTGTATGTGTTAAGTTCAGTATTTCCGTAATAGTTATACACCGAGGGATAGGTCTGTCTGGATAAGAAACCCCGTCGGCCGGAGGCCGGAGGGTTTTTTTTATCCAGACACGCCGTATCCCGAGGTGTATAACTAACTTACACCCCATTATTAACCCTATATTTGTTAACATTGATTATTTAATGAAAAAAAAAAAAAACGATAGCATATTTATTGACAATATCAAACCATGATTTATAAGAATATTTTTTTATTACATGAAACCCCACTAGTAACCTTTCTTTGGTTATCTTCGTTCAAACTTTGACAAGTGAGTATATTTTACAAATGTAAAGTTGTTTTGCATATTCCCGTTAAATCCATGTGCTAAGATGGATCAGCAGGTCAAGGTTGAGTGTTACGTGTATTCTTATTACAAACAAAAAATACATCTTGCTCCTGGTATACAGTTGTCAATATGGACGGGTATAAGACGGACGACATTTTGTGGCAAGCGTTGGATTTGATAGAAGAGACTAAAGATAAAGACAATATTATAACCCAAAGTACTTACCTGTATCAGTGTAATAAAGGTAATCATAACTGTATTTTATATCTTACGATTTTATCAAAAACAACCCCCCACTCCCCCCTCTTCTCGAGAATAAACAAACATTCATATTCGAACATACTAAGGGATATGTGTGTCTGCATTAGAAACCCGACTACCAGACACGCTCAACATACAATATTTAATATTGAGGAACTCCTTTGGGGGGGGGGGGGCAATCAGGGGCTGATCAAGCCGGGGGTTCCCAACTCAAGAGAAAAAGGGGGGTCCAACCATTCAAATGCATTGATTTTTTAAATAAAAGTCGAGTCCAACCCGCGGAACCCCCAACCCCGGATCGGCCACTGGATAACCGGGGGGGGGGGGGGGGGGGGGGGGGGGTACAGGAGTTAGAATCTCCATTTTTTTTAAAGATCAATGCTTTAGAATAGAGACATATGGCTGGGATAAAAAAAATTACCTTCAAGCAAAATTAAGAGTATTTAAAGAATTATTTTTGAATTCCATATAGATGCTTATTGGAATTTCCTAAAATGTGTTTTTTTTTAATATCATGAAACAATTTGTAGTGAACACTATTTGTTATTTCTTATGTTCATGCTATTTAAAAAATAATCAATTTCTATTGTTACGAATAACAATGGACTTTGTTTGCGGGATGTAGAAGCAGGGGTTTCCAGAAACCCCGCTCGTCACACCCTGTGGTCAAAATCCATTGTTATTCGTAACAATAGATCTATTCAATTTACACTTGTTTCAGAAATAGAAACTATGAAGTATAACAATAGAACTGGGGTGTAAAAATAATGAAACACATATTCTCTTTGTATTTGTATTATATTCTACTTGCGAAGGAGCATGTCAGTCTGCTTTCCCGCGCTTGAAGATTGGAATCATGGTCGCAACGATTAGATGTTTGACCTTTACAAAGTCTTAAGGATGACGTTAAGATCTGACTCAGTATTCAAATGTCTTTTTTTATTCCTTTGTAATAGGATATCGCAATTTTACTATGATTAAAACGACAAATGACATGCACACTTGGAGATCGTTGACCTATTGAAACACCACATGTCACGACAGTTTTAATCTAGATAGAGTTTGTACTACTACTCTTCACTTCGTGATTTTTATCATTGATTGTATTTTGGCCCTTCCATGATAATAACTTTCATATAAATTGTCTGATGTTACATGCTTTTTTAACATTTAGATTTGAATAATTTGTCTGATATTGTTATGACCTTCATAGGTAGCATAATGTTTCTTTTAGAATTCATAATGTGAAAGTTTAAAGAATTTTGTGATTTACGCAATAACTTGTGTGAAGATAATGTTTTAGTACAGATCTAAAAAAAATTAACTAAAGCGACTGATTGATATTCACATTATGAATATAACCTCAACATATTCTTTGAATAAAGTACTAAAAAAATCATTAACTAATTATTGAAAGATATTTTTCTCGAATAATTAATTGTCTTTTGATGATTTGAGATATATTAGTAATACTATTAGGCATTTCCCATGAAAAAGGGATAGTGTGGTTGTACTATCGTACATGCTATTTTGTTTTATTTATGATAATAATGTGTGGTGAAAAAGAAGAGTTCCTCATGTCTTCATTTGACATTACTGAGACATAAACGTTGTTATTTTGCCCCATTGTGATTATTTTATGATATATGTGTAACACGTCATCAAAATGAACAGTTTCCTTAAAGTGTTTGTTTTACATTTTTTTCTGCCTCAACACCTTAACGTATTTATGACATTTTAGACAAAAAAACATCTTTTTGTATGTGCAATGATTAACAGTATTAAGATATAATCATGACATTTCTACTTTTTCTTCAATAGTCACGTGATCTTACATCTTCACCCACCGGAAACGACAAGATAACTTTAGTCCGTTTTTGGGGTTTATACTGGACTCACATCATGTTCATTTGCTTAAAAATATTTGTTTTTTTTACATTGATTTTAACTTTTGGATACGGACAACAGGTTGATCTATCTAAACAAAAGGATTTAATTCTGAAATTACACAATGGTTATCGAGGGTTACAAGGAGCGTCAAACATGAAAAAAATGGTACGTATATATATATATTTATATAAAACGTGAAGGACGGCATAGTAAAAACATGTTCTAGCATAAGGCATGGTAGCTAAATATTCTTCTAACATGTAACATAGTTCTTCCACGTTTACTTCAGTTAATTTAAGTTAGATTCTTTATATTTAGATTTCGAATGGATATATGAAAAATACGTATATTTTTAGTAAAAAAATAGTTTTCCTGGCAAGAATTTAGTACGAGTTTCTAAAAATTATAATATCATTTTACTATAAATACTATAATATATATCTACTTCATTTGAACTTTGTTAGATAGTGTCTCATTGTCAATCATACAACATCTCCTTATTTTTATAAAATTGAAAAACCAGCATTTGCTTACATTAAGATTGTATGCTATTTAGATATGAATGAGTAGGGGAAATGATAAAATTATTCTGAAAGATGATTTTTTATTTAATAATAGGTACTTAAACTTCTTTAAGCATCAGCCTTGTTAGAACGTAATTTCAAAACTCAAATTGTATCATATCACTGTAAACAATCAGATAATGAAATAATGAGAAGATTTAAATTGGACAATTCCAACGTCACAATAAATACGACTGACGAAATTTTTTTTTAACGGTTTTCAGAGCAATATATTCGAAAGGAGGAAATATAGATTAAGTAAAAATTGTTGACGTAAATAATAACGAAATTCGGCATAGACAAGAACTTCCATTTCTTTTCGTAATAACATTTGTCGGCAGTCATATTATTATATAATAACAAAAGGAGAAAACGTGTTGTAGTTGTCATTTTATTATCTATGCACATAAAATTGGGAGAAACATTGTAAGAGACAAAGTGAATAACAATTAATATGACATTGTCAACTGTAAAAGCTACATACCATACAATTGGCATACACATACTTGGTTAATGTTTTTTATTGTGTGTTGATAGCTGTATCTTTTGCCGTTAAAACAGACAACTGTCATAATTGATAATAATGTTACGGTCACAAATGATAAATGTCAAGACGGTGTCGTGTTGGATTATCATTACATAAAAGAAATTTAACAGTCTGTGAAAAAACTGCGTAGTAGAGTATAATAAACTATTATACCAACGATTGGGGGTGTTGCAGGGTTGTCCGATTCGTCTCCTTATTTTAATGAATATGTGTTGAAACCGATGAAAATAATTATTTTAAAAAAAATGTTAGAAATCGGAATATAAAAAAAAAAAAAAAATGATATAAAGACTTCGTTGAAAATCAAATGTGAAAAATGAAAGTTTACAAGATAACTTTGAATTTCAGTTGATCTTAATAATCCCGTGCATGTGAAAATCATAATCATACTGATATAAAGAAAATTTCTTCAAAAATTCTGGTCTGGTCATCTGTTTTGTGTATTGCCATTTCATACTATTTTAAACTGCTAGGTTTTCTTACATATATTTCGATGTGTCCCGTGCTGTCTATCATTTGTTTTTTAGTTTTATATGTATTGTCTATCATTTGTTGTTTCGAAATTATTGGTCTTTTGTTGGGCAATGTATGACAAATATATGTTGAAAAACCTCGCCCGTAATTATAAATTATGTAATTCATTGACCGCTCCCGACATGTGTAACTTCAAGGCATATTTTAGCGGCGATCGATGTCTTTCAAAATTACTGCACTTTTCTTGTATCGCTGGTGCTTTCGACTGGAGAACCGTCGTACACAAGCATCGCACAAGTTGGAACTCCGAGGCGGGTGGGGAGCAAGAAGGTGAACTGTGGTTTATTTTTATCAATAGTACCGCTTAAGTCGACGCTAGGGGCCGTCTTGACCTTGTTGTAGGGTATGAATGATTCGTTCATTGTTGAAGACCCTACATCAACTGTCAAGATGAAGAACAGGAATAAAAGCCCTGTTCATTGATAATTTTCTATGTTTTCTATGTATTGTGTGCGATTTTGTCCCATGTACATTTACTCCATATCCTTTCATTTTCTATGTAATCTCTACAAATTGTTTCAGAAAAAAATTATGATTAATCATGGTATAGATGTCGTTGCGGTAATAAATGTCATTGTTCTTTGACAATTGACACGCGGACTTCATTTTTTTCTATTTTAAGGAATGTTTAACTATTGTTTCCTGATTTTTACCGATATGATATTAAGCATTTGTTTGAATTGTAACAATATAAAATGCAGAGACATATTAGAAGAGAATATTATTAATCGAATATTTTTAAGGATTTGTGATTCGTTAAAACTTGATCACATGTACATTTGTATTTACTCAGTTTGCACGCCAATACTGTTGTGTATAGCTTTTCGTAGGTCAAAAACAGCATATTGCACAGGGCATACAGCATGTTACTAAAAATACATTCTAGAAATCCCCAATTTTACATTGTTCATGCAATAGTTGTTGATTAATAATATAACAATTGTAGCCTTTGGTTGAGGTCAATACGATGTTATATCGACCTAGAGAAGCATATCGACCCCGGACTTCGTCCTCAGTCAATATGCTTTTCTTAGGTCGATATAACCTCGTATCGACCTCATACAAAGGCTATAATTGTATAGTACAAAACTTGACCAAGAAAATTCTACAACAACATCATAAATAATTCAAGAGTGAACAATGTAAAATTCTTATATTTCAAAGAGCTTTTTATAGAAAAGGGTATAGTTAAAATAGGTGATTTGAGAAATAGTTCTCTTTCAACAAAAGTTTCATTTCCGCAAATTTGTTGGTTAGTTTAAGTAAACAATGACATCAAAAGCACTCCCGATTGTCCCACTTTTTAAAATTTTAGAGTTCTGATTGTCCCACATGAAAAGTTCTGATTGTCCCACATTATTTTATGAAGTAAAATGTTCTTAAATAAACAAGGTATATATTGTTTGTTTTGCTAGATAAACAAGAATTAATTATTGCATGTTCAAACTTTTATTTAATATAAATTTTATAAAAGCATAAGATATGATTTTTTTGGTATATCATCAGATTAATGCACTTTTGAGTAAATAATATAACATTTATGAATTATATCTATAAGCTTACGTTTATTTATATAAAACAAATATCAATACTGTGATTTTAATTTAAATTTGTTTTCGAAAGTTTTTAAAATGAATTAAGATATAATCCATGCAATTTAAAGAAAAGTGTAACTTGAAACTTAATTACGCTGTACACTATACACGCACTAGTTGATGGAGAGATGTTTCCACTAGTCTTTGCACTTTTACCAGTGAAGTCAGATGCCATTTACACAAGATTCTTTATCATACAGAATACAATCTGATGGTGGTGACGGCAACACCGTTAACTATTGTAAAGCTTTATATTTCAGGGGGTAGAGGAATCGGATGGCTCATATTTTGTATATAGATCCATTGTGTTACGAAGTTCCCGTCTGTCATATAATCATTGTCCTTGACTTCATGTTCATGGTTTGGTGACTGCTAAAAACTGTATAGCTTGTTTTCGTCATGTGAATGTCTCATTTATCATAAGTTCTAGGATAACTATACTTGGCTACTAGTCTAATATATGGTATCCTTGCAATGACTACATGTCCGTCAGACATCATCGTTCACATGACCTCGACCTCATTTTATGGATCTATGAACAAGGTTAAGTTTCAATGGCCAAGGCCGTATCTCAGATGCTATAAGTAGTGGGTCAAATACTTTTGGTGTAAGGAATGGTAGCAGGGTGTACATGTCTTTGTGACAGAGTTAATCTGACCTTACCTCATTTACATGGAACATTGATAATGTTAATTTTATGTAGTACTAGTTGTATAATATAAAAATAAGGAGATGAGGAAGTAAGCATTTATAGGCAACCGTATGGCCTTCAACAATGAGAAAGCCCATACAGTATGGTCAGCTATAAAATGCCCCGATATGGAAAATTTTATATAATTCATTTGAGAAAACTAACAGCCAAAATAACTAAACAATTTACCAAAAAAATTATGACAAACATGAACCAACGACAACCACTCAAATACCGGCACGATACTGACTTGGGACAGGCATATACAGAATGTATAATCCTTTTTTCAAAGACTTTCTACAAAATACAGTAAGTTGGTAAAACATGCTGTAATAGTAGAATCCTAGTTTTTACGGTAACGATGTTTATGATCATACTTTTCTAAGACTATTGATGACGTCCTTACATTAGCTTTCAATAAGGGGACGACCATTTGATTTCGAAAGGGGAAGGGGAGGAGGATTTTGAAAATGAAGAACTTGGCCTGGTATTAACTGAAAATAAATGACTTTGCACAAGACAGGATGAAAAATTGATATGTGATGTTTTTTTACTTAATATTATATTCTATGATTGATGATACTTCAATTGTACACTGATTGTTTACCTGTAACCATTCCTTCTACACCCTATACAAACAAATTAATCACTATCAAAACAATTCCCGATTGTCCAACATTTAAGCTTCCCAATTGTCCCACAAACATATTCCCGATTGTCCCACAAAATTTCATTACTTTTTTACCTGTAATTTTAAAAAGTGGGACAATCGGGAAGACACCCTATTTTTTTGTCAGGAAAGAGGAAAGGGCTACTTTTGCATACGTTCTAAATTGGAGTGGGTGAATTGGTGGTCTGACACCTAAAATAAAAAAAAAAAAAACGATGAGATCCTCATTCTTAAACTATACATATTCTTATCCTTTATCATAAGCTGCATTCATTACATCGTACTCCCATTCCCAATAGAGGTCATTCCCACCCCCTTTAAAACGGTAATCTTTAGATACATGTAAAAATAAAACTGACGAGACCCCTCTTTTTGAATTAACCATACGTATTCTTCTTCCCTGTACCAAGAAACATTGAATGCAACATCGTTGTTCTGTTCATAGTGGTCATACATACTTCTTCAAAACAATGACTTATTCATTAAACAATGATGAGCTCACCACCCAAACATTATATATTTTATGGCTATGGTCTTAAAAAGATGTAACCATCGGATTTATCACTTGTGATATGAAGGAGTCGCAATTAAGATAAAATTATTTGAAAATATTTTTTTTGTAACTTCATCTGTAATGTACAAAAATGTTGTCGTTGCTTTATGTATGTATAGTATCAATCCTTCCACTATAAATCCACAGGTGACTGAAGAATAGAAATCTGGTTCCTTCGGTCTTCTTCCGACCAGTAGTAAAACCCTTGCCAGATTGGGGCTTCCGTTTGCCTGTGTGGGATGTATAAGTACGCAGCCACGTCCGGTCAGAATGGGGTCGTTAAATCCGATGCCTCGTGTAGTTAGAGTGTCATGATCTCTGGACGCGAAGAAGCCTTCCAAAAAACTCTTGAGATTGAGGGGTCCGTAGGTGGCCTGCTGTAAGGCCAGATTTCTGTCCCTATCCTATTTACCCTCATGTTCTAGTGGCAGTTCAAATTTTCCACCCTTCAACCCGGTCGACACCTTTTTCTGGACCTACCTATTATATGTATTGTTTATTTGCTCTCGTCCTGAAATTTCATGAAACATTTGCTACTGGACGTTATGAAACAAACAATTAATAATCATTTAAGGAATGACTGAAATATGTTTTCTGTCTATGAAAAAATAACATCAGAAATGTGGTGCACACTGAATAATCCGCGTAGCGGCTTATTTGAAAATGTGCACATCATTTTTTATGTTATATCGAATAGACTGAAAAAACATTACAGTCATTCCTTATGATTTAATTATAAATTCAATCTTTAAGGAGTAAATCATGAATAAATGATGACATCAAGGTCACATGACAAAATTATGTCTATGAGCTGATAGACAATAACTTTCAGCCAATCAGAAGACGTGTTGCATCAAAAATTAAATTATTCCAATATAAATCATAATTTTGATGTGAAGACAAATATTCGGCATCTTCATATTTTCACCAAAAAATAGTTATCACGTTAAATAAAGGATGGTTATTTTGTAAGTCAAACACCGGTACCATTTTGTGTTTAAATTGTGTTTCTGAATCAACCTTTGTGCGTAATATTCTCTGAAAAGTTAGAAATCGACTGACGTGAAAATACGAAAATATATAGGGACAAAATACAAAAAAGAACATGTCCCAAGTCAGGAGCCTGTAATTCAGTGGTTGTCGTTTGTTGCTGTGAAACATATTTGTTTTTCGTTCATTATTTTGTACATAACTTAGGCCGTTAGTTTTCTCGTTTGAATTGTTTTACATTTGTCATTTCATGACCTTTTATAGCTGACTATGCGGTATGGGCTTTGCTCATTGTTGAAGGCCGTACGGTGACCTATAATTGTTAATTTCTGTGTCATTTGGTCTCTTGTAGAGAGTTGTCTCATTGGAAAATCATACCACATCTTCTTATTTTCATATTAAACAAAAAGCAAAAAAAAAAGGCAGAAAAAACCGAAACAATAAAACCCGTCATTTAAGATCATATTTGTACGATGCGGTTTGAAAAAGAAATATTCATATAACCAACATTATCAAATGAGGAAAGTAAAACAATTACACAATCAATTTTATTAGAGTGTGTAGGATATTCAAACGAAAAGTCCCAAATGGAATACACCTTATCGCTATTTGTCCGCCATTCCTGGACATCACAAAGGTTCCGGTAAAATTTTGACGCCACAATAAAAAATATCTGACGCCACAATGAAAAAGTGATTGTTGTATTGCGTCAATAGTTCAAGCGGCTCAGATTCTCGGGTCAAGGGTAGCAGATTTCCAAATAGCGATATGGTCTAAAGAGTAAGCCTAAGATAAAAAAAAAGTATTAAAATAAAAATGGTGACAGAAAAAAGACTTAATCGTTCGTAAGAACTCAACCACATGAAACCTCTTAGCAACTTTTAACAGTTCAGTTCAGACTAGAGTTAGTTAGTACTTTTATGTACAATTGAGATAAGTGAAGATACCATTTAGGTAGTAAGTACAAACACTGATTTATATAGACTCGTCCTGTATTGATGAGGAGCGATTGATTCTTTGTTGTTTAGAGTGAAGGACAAATACTAAAAGTTGATAGTTTGATTGGCCTCCAGTTTTGGTATCTCCAGTTTTCGAATCCATTAATTCAATAAGCTGTATTTGTTGGCAAATTTTTAGAAAATAAATGATTTCAGTTAAAACGAAATCCAAGGTACAAAGTAGGCAATCCCTATGTGATAAAAAACACTTTATTATTCTTACCCGTGCATATGGAGATCTACTATTCTCTTTTCAAATTTGTTTTACAAGAGCAAGAAAGAAGAAATATATTCAATGAGAATGTATGAAGAATATCTTCTGGAATATCATGTTAATTTAATAAGAGGGAACAAGTTACTGTTTTATCATTGCATCAGGTACAAGCAGAAGAAATGTGGCGTTTGAATATAATTATCAATGATCCATTGCAGATTTAACACCATAAAGATTAAATTTTACTATTTTTATATATTGTGTTTTTGTTTTCCCTCGGTATTTTTTTATTTTTCCTAATCTAAAACTGCTAACCATATGATTGTATGTTAGCCAATAATAAGTACTGTAACAACTTTAAAAGTTTACAACATATTTACACGTTAATTTAGTACGTATTTATATTTTATCAAAATATTATTTCGAAATTTTCTTTCCATAGAGATGGAGCGATAAACTAGCAAAAGAAGCAGAGAAATGGGTTGGTCGTTGTTGGTACCAGTTCTTAGCTGGAACTAACGGAGAAAATATGTTTTATTTAGAGTCTGCATTACCAGATCAAGTGTTGGTAGAACGCGCCATTGACACGTGGTATTCGGAAAAATATGGCTGGAGACGATCCGGTGATTGTACCGATGCTTGCAGTTATACTCAGGTAGTTTGTTCAGTTATAATTTACAGGAAAATATTTACCAAAGTTTCAATTTCTTTGTTTAAGTTCAATGAAAAAACATATATATAACAGGTACATGTATGTCACATTTGTTTATACAGATTGATCGGCATGCATACTTGACAGTCCTGCATCTTCTTCTCCCTAACAACATAACAATATTCAATATTTGGGTATTCGTCCATGTCAGCGATGTTCCACTATTATTTTTATTTGAGTTATGTCTATTGGAAATGTAAATTCTATTGAATATCGCTGTGTAAGCGCGCTAAACCCTACATTTTCTTGTCAGATTTTTATGAAATAAATATCAAAGGTTTATATCAGCAATGTCCTTGACGATTTCGAAAACCAGTGCCGGTCAACTATAGTACAGGAATCATGTTTCTTTGAAATGGAGATTATATTGAAAATTGTATTGTAAGCAATTATCTATCACATTTACATTTCTTGTCGGATTTTATGAAATGTATACCAAAAATGCTTGGAAAAGTTTGGTAACTTGCGCTGATCAACTATTTTTAAAGGAGTAATACGCATTGAAAAAAGAAGTTCTATGGAAAATTGCATTGTAAGCGTTCTCACGCCATTAATAAAAAACATGCATATTTGTGCTCACTATTCATATACGTCTATGTTTGTATGTACAACTGTCTGGTTGCTTTTGATTTTTGTCTCGATTGTGCATTGTCCTCGAGATATCCGCTTTCTTTATTCTGACATACCATTTCTTGTTTCGATTTATATACTAGAATGCTATAAATCAAAATGGCATACAAATAGAAAGGCTGTCTTCTATAATGAAAAAAAAATATAGAAATATAGAAACATAGAAAGATTATTTATTTCTAATACAATTTAGTCTTAAATTTAAGAGAATTCTGAAAGTTTGAAAATAGATATTTACTAGTATAATGTATTTCTCAAGTAAATTATAATTAATTGTAAAAATACACTTAGTGTTCTGATATTAAAATATTTTCAGATGGTTTGGGCTAGAAGTTCAGAAATCGGTTGTGCAGCTTATCGATGTGCTTCGTTAAATCTGCCAACTCATTATGCATTAAAGTCCTGGTTCTTTATCTGTTATTATAGTCCAAAGTTTGTATTGTTTGTTTTATATACGTTTTGGTCTACGAAATTGCTTGAGTTTTGATAATTTTACATTTCAAGTATTTCGGACTTTAAGATATTTAGACAGTGCAACTTTAGAAATCTGAAAAATAAAGAAAACAAATAATACTTGAAATGAAAAATTATGTGATATAAACAAGAGATCATAAATTGTGATGTAATGCTTAAAGTAGAATGAAATGAATAATAACTTAATAGAATTTCTATAATTAGCATTTGTATTGTATCAATGTATTTGACACGGTTCTAAACGTTTGAAACTGAACACGAAACGTCTAAAACAGTTATGAAGCAAAAAATCTTTATAGAATGTTCCAATAATTTGACGTATTGGTTATTTTAGTTATGACATTTGATCCTTTTACTAATAATATATGGTTATATTTATTCTGCTCAATATTCTGTCTAAATTACTAGTACGAAATTAGATTATTACATTTTTTATCTACATATTTTATTTGATAACTAATTCTGAATCGTTTTATTCGTTCATACAGTACAAACAATATGATTCTGTTAAAATCCCAATATGGTGAATCAAAGTGAAACGGGGTGATTGTCGGTGATTTTAAGTGATTACCTCTCAGATACTATATATATGCAGCGGATTGAAATCATAGTAATTAAAGCTACTGACCGCATCACACACTGTGTATATAACTGAAATGTGCTAATTAAAAAACTTTCGTGTCAAGCAAAGGTAACACTACCCCGGTGAAACTTCCCTTTTTGAGAATCGGATCTGGTGTAGTGATTAGCACCTTTGTCTTTACATGCCGGTTGTAAGTTCGCTTCTCGAAAGATGACTCAAAAATCAAATCTGTGTGTACAAAAATTCTGAGGGTTGAAATTACCATGACATTGTTTGGTTAATATTTTTGGCATATACAAATATGTTTGTTTTGAATATATACAGATAGGTATTTCCGAATGAATCACTCACATTCACCACCATTCACTATGATACATAACTCACCAAGAGAATACTTTTTAACCGAATCTAAATGTGTGTACTGAATTATATGCTATATGGCATTACAACACAATTATGAAGATTTCCAGATTTTGAATTATGTAAATTTGTCACCGACACAATTTACTATGAAAGTTATGAGATCAAATTCTGGAAATCTTTCAGATGAACAATATTCTATATTTATATTATATTTTAGAATAGTAATTTATAACCATAGCTAGATTATCATATGTAATTGACTTTACTATATACATTTCTTAAACGATATTAAAATTTCTTATTTTTAAGATAATATAGTCAAACGAAGATGATTTTTAAAGAAGAACGCCGATGAAAGTTATTTTCTGGGAATTCAATGTAGTAACCTTTCATCGTCCTGTCAATGCAGGATGTTGATAAAAACAATGGTCAAATTGTTCGCAAAATATTTGTTCAAAACTCATAACGAATCGTTATATTGCTTATGATAATCTGTTACACATGACTTCAACATATTGCTTGTTTGATTAATGTTAATGTTTAAATGGGATGGGTAGAAAACAGTTATGCAAGAATATATATGCTAAAATAAATTGCAGGTGGTTTGGTCGAAAACGGACGAAGTTGGGTGTGCTGCTCATCGATGTGCAAAACTGAATTTAGTGGAGGAATTTGTTAATAATGGCTGGTTCATTACATGTCTTTACAATCCAAAGTTTGTGAATGTTTAACATTTTCATTTCATCTCGTCACTTTATTAACAACTAATCATAGCTTGATTCATATATGTAACATTTGAGTCTACAAAATTTACATGTCAAAAATCTAATAATATATCTTAACAATCCCCTTTGCATTCTTTTAAATTATTGAAAGGAAAACTTTCCGCAAAAGCACTATAGATATTTTACTGGTACATAGTTTCAGCACATGTTTTGTTCGTCTTTGAGCACTGTTGTATTTAGCACGCATATATTTCATTACTAACACTTTACATGTTTCAGATGTTAAATGAAGAAGGGCTCTGGCAACTGACGTACACTCAAATAAAAGATCAAGTTAAAAAGTATTTTATCAATAAACTGAACTGATCTATACAGTTCGATAAACAAAACAATATTAAATATTAACTACATAATACAACATAAAATTAAATCCAGGTTTAGTCCACCATTTTCTACACAAGGAAATGCCTGTATCAAGTCAGGAATATGACAGTTGTTTTCCATTCGTTTGATGTGTTTGAGTTTTTGATTTTGCCATCTGATAAAGGACTTTCCGTTTTCAATTTTCCTTGGAGTTCGGTATTTTTGTTATTTTACTTTTTAAATCAATAATAATATATTTTAAGAAGTTGAAATATTCGCTCTAAAGAGCTTGGGATAATTTTCAACATAATCCTATTAAAATTTCTTTTTATTATCTCTACTTTAATTCACAGCACTACATAATGGTGTTTTTCTGGCAACATCATATCATATGTTTTTGTAATTCCGTTGTTCTATTCTACTTTGAACGCTAAAAAGATCGAAGCATCGTATGGGAAATCTGTGTAATGTTCGATGTTTCCTATCATTGCCTTATGAAGTCGAACGTTCCCCACTTTGGCATATTAACTACATATTTGAAATATGAACAAATTATTAAAATGACATTGTTTGCTTTGTTTTCTGAAATATTCTAATCACAATTTTGGATTGGCAAGTGATGGGAGAATTGAATCTTAGTTTAAGTGAAATGGAAATACTTTAATTTCAAATTTAAATAAAAACATGTCTCATGAAGCTATCGAAGCCCCAATCTTCCATTGACAAACTTGTAATATATTAAAACTTCATGTTACAGAACTTAATTTAATGCACCGTTTGTACGTACTCGTCAGGGGTTCCAGAATAATATGAAACTTTGAGGAGCAAACAAGCCAAACTTTGCACCAAAATGACGCTTAGGAACTCATATGTCTACAACTTGAATTTGAAGAATACAAATAACATTTGTGTCGACTTGAAATTTTTAAGTGTCAATATCAAAGTAATAACATATTTATTAAAAAAAAACAATGACTTTAAGGCAAGTCATATCATCGAGGAGTTACAATGTCGTCGACTCAGTGGAATCATAAGATCCCGAAATTAACGTGATGCACCGCGTATGCGCATTTAGAAAATTTATTTCCAGCAATACTTTATTGGAAATATTAAAATATAAAACAGAATGGAAAAAAAGATTTCTTTGGTTCAATTCTGGAAAGACTATTATTTCTTCTTAACAGAACTTTGACTTGAGACTTCAATTTTAACCTTATTTTCTAGATTTTTGGCCCATTTTTCGTTTTTCTCTTTTTTGGCGCAACCGTCCTTTATACTAGTATCTACAATAGTTTCCCATACTTTTTTATGGGGTTCGCTAAAATAGAAGTCTTCCGAAAATTCGACCATTTGACAGTCAATAAGCATGAGATAACATTTTTCGGTTTGTGTCTTGTTTGTGTATTGAATTGACTCCTGTTTTCCGAACTGCATGAAGCATGTCTCTGTATCTTAAATTTCACATATTACGGTAATAGTCGTATTTTTTGTTTGTCATTATATTTTTCATAATATATAATAATTAATTATTTACTTTGAAATTGTACATTAAAATTCTTAAGTTTTTTCACTACTTTTTTGCAATCGTTTTTTCTTATCAAAGATTTCATCATATTTGTTTTTAGAACATTTCAAATTCAATCAAATAGTAAATCAATTTTCTATTATTAATAAAACATTACAACTTAATTATACTTTCTTGTTTCAAGTTTTTAATGTTTTAATAATAACAGAGGAATTATGTTTATTTCATAGAGGTAACACTCTAGGACAGATGCCATTTGAAGCAGGAAATCCATGTACATTATGTGATTTAGGAGAAAGATGTATGGACAAATTATGTGTCAGTAAGTCGGATATTTTACACTAAGATCGAGACTTCTTCATTGCGAAAGCCACCGATACATAACGCGTTTTACAATTGATTCCGTTCAGTTTATAAAATTATTATTCTATTATATGTTTGATACTAGTATTTGATTATGTTTTCCGAACGGTTCACGTTACTAATAAATATAGGTTAGAATTGACTCTAACAAATTAAAATCTAGTACACTTTATTCTTTTTTTTTATATAAAATTAAACTTTCTACTTGCTACGTACTCTTTTTTTTTAATTAAAAAAAAAACTTAAATGATAAACTTGAAGTAAATCGATTTAAAACATTAGACGACACGGTGCTTTTAGAAATATATATATATTTTTTAAATTGACTTTGAATAATTTTTAGAAAGTAGACCGTCACAAACTAGAGTTACTGTACAAAATCGACGACCACCAAGACCACGAGTTAAACCAATATTGTCATTTGATGATGTGCAGAAACAGAAACGAGGTAAGTTTCTTATGAATACAGCACATACAGCTAATATGTTGGCAACAAACGAGAAGGAATAACTATCTGCGATATAAAATGACTTTATAGATACTTTCCATCATATCAAAGAACGGATATCATATTTCATATACATTCTTTGAAGATATTCTATACATTATTTTATATATAAAAATCTATAGAAGTAACTTGTTCGCGGTGTGTTCATAACTGCATGTACTCTATAACAACTTTTATTTTATTTTATTTTTTTTTATTTTTTTTTTTGGGGGGGGAGGTCCTACTCGATATAGTACATTTAAGGATCCAAAAGATATAAACTGTAAGATGCACGTTACAAACTCGCAGAAGCAGACCTTATGAGAACTTCTTTTATAATAAGAGACCTGTTAGATAGGGCATCAGGTTCTTGAAATATAAAATAACATTTGTTCCAATTTTTTTTCTAATTGTAAAAATGTTGTCAATAACTCGTATAAGATTACATTACACAGTATCAAGACAGCTTCCACGAAATTGGTGGAGCAATGGACCTGTAACATCATCGTTTCTTGATAGTTTCAACAGAGGACCAGTAACGCCTTCATTTCTTGATAGTTTCAATCAAAACTCAAGTCCTCCTAAAAAACACCAAATAGAAGAAGTTATAACGATTCGACCAACAGACCCAATACCTAAACTTGCTAGTAGACCTACCAGGCAGCATCAACTTTGGATGCATGAAAGTGCTTTTGGATTAGAAGAATTGAAACAGCAAGAAAATGTAAAACAGAATGAAACTTTAGATAGCTTAGTACTTCCAAGTGAAGACCCTTTAAAGACAAAATCTCTATATGACGACTCGACAAAACCGAAAAATTTTACAGATGATATAGCTAAAGATATAAGTCCAGTATATGCACAAATGACAATAAATGGTCCAGTGTTTTCATTTAGAGGTACTGTTTTTAAATCACATCGGAATGAACAGGGAAATGAACCTGAAAAGCTAACAAAGAATAGAGAAATAACAACAAAATCAACAACCACATCAACTACGACAACAACTACTACAACACCGACACCCACAAGAAAAATTCCAAAATGGTTTGAGCTTAAAATAAGCCAAACAGACGACTCTAGTGTCCAACAGAATAATAAGAACTTGCGTAACAGAGCAGAATTACCTGAACAGATTCATAATCGAGGAAATCAGGAAATAAACACAAATGGAAAGCCAATAAACAAAAGTCAAAGACAGAAGTCCGAGGACATATCTCCAACAGACAGAAATCCAGAAAAACAAGACCGACGAAGGAATAGAATTCCAAGTAAGACCCTTACTCAATATTGCAATAAAATATATTACTGGTTTGGAGATTTCTTTTACAAGATGTTTTATAATCTATATCAATTGTGATAGTAGAATAAATAGAAAACGTAGTCGTACATGTCTCTTTTAACACTACATTTCATGCGTACCTTAAATATAAACTATATCTCTTCTGTAGGTAGACCTTTCAAGCCAAAGGTACGATTTGTTTTCAAAACATCAGTAGTCAACCAAAATGAAGAATTTCGTGAAGCAGCCATTTTTGGGAGTACCACAATGTTTCCAGAACAAACAGGTTTTGTGCTTCAAATCATATTGAGCATTGTTGAAAGCAGTGGAAGAAGACGATATTTACAAAAAAATGAAATGATAATGTAAAAGTTTAGCGATTGCAAGAGAGCAACAAATTTCATCAATTAAATTGGAAAGTGATTTAGGAAAATTTCTATACAATTGTTAAAAAACATACTTTCATACTTACAATACTATCACTGCTCATAACAAGAAATATTGTCTAATTCTACTGTTTTCAGATGATCGCCTAAGACAATACTTCTATATGCATGCATATTTAGAACATTGTAGTTTAGTTGACATCTATATTAGTTAAAATGTAAATATATAACCAATGTTAATCTCTAGCAATCGCTTACCTTCAATAAATCTAACCTGAAATGTTATTGGATTTATTCTAACCTGAAATGTTATTGGATTTATTCTAACCTGAAATGTTATTGGATTTAGAATAAAGCTCATTTTTATATTTTCTGTTGTTTTTAATTTTCATGTTATATGATCTCCCTTTTATTTACACGCATGTGCAATATCTAATCTAAATTCATATATATATATATATATATATATATATATAGAGTTTTGTTTCCATCTATTTATCGGTATTGTTACACAATCTTTTAGACTCACATATATATATATGTGCAAGAGAATACATATGATAAAAACTAATACAACTTTCCTAACATATAAGACCAATTATTTTGATCATCGTGTACTCGTTAATTTATATGTTTTAGATAAGAAGTTTTTATTATGCTTCTTAATAGTTATCTTTTTGTTGGACTTTTGATTTTTTATGAATACACTATAAAACACAATTGTAACAATTCATTTAAACAATTTTATACCTTCTATTCTAAAATGTGAAATGTGCAATTTTAAAAAGGACAAATTCTGGTATCGAACTATTTGCGTGATATTTTATTTATTACAACATGGAAAATGACAAGTTTTACTTTTTAGGCCGATATCTTCATGCCTTTTGTCTAGTAAACGTAAATTAGTATGTCCCGATAGAAATCTCAAACTTCTCACCTAGCTATGCATTATTCCAATTAATGTATTGATATTATCTTGGCGAATAATAATCTTCCAATAAGATATTTGATTTACGAAAAAAAAATTAATTACTTACAAGTGAACGATATTCCGATGGAATCTTTATATCCGAAGTGTTCAAACAGAGAGAAAAAGGCTAAATTTTATTGCATTCGGGAAATCAATTTCTAGGAATTGCTTGGCTTCAGCCTTGAGAGATACATTTTTTTTGTTCAAATTTTTTTCTGTTTTTTTTTTTCAATTTCCCATGGGAAATTTCAATGAATTCGTGCTATTTAAGAATTTGTTTTTAGAAACGTACCGCATACACGGAACTTATTATGAATGTCTTTTTAATTCTTTTTTTTTATTTCCAGCAAATTCAAACCAGAGGACAGACTTTAACAAACCAGGTATTTTCTTAAGATTATTTTGTTACAATCTCACTTGAATGACGACACTTAAGAACTTTAAAATCCAAAGGAAGTTTTCGTCTATCAATTCTAAGGGTCCGTTTTAGTTTCGTGGGAATATTGGTTAAAGCAAATTTAAGTTATGTAGGAAGTATACACGGACAGTAAGGCACAAAACAGAGTCATAAAGTAAAAATAGATGTAAAACGTACCAACAGCGTACATTTGATATTTAGGGGAACGACACAACAGAAATGTTACAGAACAGGATATATCAGAAGTCTATAAATAGAGCCCTAGTTATGGACATCTGTTTATATAAATGATAATAACCTGACTTGAGATATTCAGATGTTTATAAGTTTGTAATTTTATTTTGACAGCGTTCATATATAACATTATAAGATCTCTTTTAATGTAAATGTATACTTTCGATGGATTAAAATGTAAGAAGAGAAATGTTTAATTCTATTTAAAAAAGGCAAATGCAATTTAATAAACATTATTAAGATAGAAAATATTAATACATATTGGTTTAGAATTACTCCTTTCAGAAATATTCATATCGGGTAGTTTCATACGATATTCGCGTTATCTTGAAATTATTACGTAACAAATATCGATTTTCATTGGTTACCTGTTGATGAGGGAAAGATTCTATTGGCTAGAATGAAATTTAGAAATGGGATCATGTCCCGGACGAGAGAAAATATTAAATACGGACATAGTTTCAAAGTGGGTATTCAAGATCCGATCTGATACTCGATCAATGAATAATTTTACCTTGACTGGTTTACCTTGCTGTATAGTCTTGAGTCAATTCGTGTAGATAAATTAGAAGAGTGGCAAAGACCAACAAGTTTATGAGAGCTCATATGACTATATATGCATATACACCAACACTTAAATTCATATAACCTTCAGTGATCTTCAAGGAAATTGTCAGAATACGTGTACTGTGGATTCATTTATTTTCGTGGGTATCAATTTTCGTGGATTGCTGAAAACTTGCATATTCGTGGATATTTGATTTCGTGGTTTTGCCAATCTCTGTATACAAAGCCTATTGAAAATATGTTATTCGTTGAACATTTGAATTCGTGGTTCACCTGTACCAACGAAACCCAACAAAATTGGTATCCAACGAATAATAATGAATCCACAGTATTCCATATTATAAAACAAAATGATATTTAAAAAAACCAAGCTACACCAAAACCACATGATACCACCGAATTGTGCATTAGAATTATTGTGAAAAGATCTGAAATATGTATGCATCTAATAACAACTTAGTAACATTGTTGTGTAAGAAAACATGCAAATAAATATTTCGTCAAAATTAACTGTTAAAAGTCCCATACCTTTATGGAACGACAAACTATAATTTTTTTTCAAATCCGAGTCTAGATTCGCCAATACCAACAACAGTGTAAAGGTTGTAGGTAATCTGAACATTCTAGATCTAGAGTATGCCATTTAGAAAATTACTATAAGTCCCATAACTGTGGAATGACAAATCATAAATTTTCAAAATCTAATGCTATCTCTTGAATGACGACACATAAGAATTTTAAAATCAAAGGAAGGTTTTCGTCTATCAATCCTAATGTTCCGTTTTAGTTTGTGGGAATATTGGTTAAAGCAAATTTAAGTTTTTGTAGGAAGTATTCATGGACAAACTACAGTATACCACAATACACTCATCTAAGACGGGCTCATAAGACCACACTTATGAGTGTATGCACAAAGGGAATACATAACATCTTTATCGTACTTAAACAACCACAAAAACCACATCTTACTTAAAATTATGAAACAGCAAAGCACTACAAAGCTTTTTAGAAAGCTAAAACTTGTATTTTTTAGTTTCAGCTACAATTGCTCCGACTCCTCCACCAAACCCATTACTATGCCCAGATAGTGACACCAACTGTAAACACTGGACGCAATATTGCAGTACCAATGATTATGTAGCGAAAAATTGTCCTGGATCCTGTGATACCTGCCCAACTCCACCACCAGGTAACTTATTGTGTCAACATATATAGTGAAGTTCATCTAAATAGACAAATTTTTTTGGAAGAAAACTATATTATTATTTTCTTCATCCTATTCGGACGGTTAAAGAACAACATGAATTTTCTTTTACATTATTCATTTTGAGCTTAATTTAAAAAAAAACACTTGGGCATAATCTGAATATGCTATGTGGTATTAAGAGTTGTTTTACTTGGGAAAATTGGGAAAATTCAGATAGGCTCCAGTTTTTGTCTGCTAATTTTCTCTTACATTTTACAAAACAAACCTTTTTATTTTGGTTAACAGTTGTACATAAATTGAAGATATGCATGTTGACAGTTATTTCATTTTGTTAATTTTTTCACAAAATTACAAGTAGTTACAACCATTTTATTTTGTTGAACAGTCTCATGGATATCGGAAATAATCATGTTGGAGGTATTTTGATTGTCCTTAATATTTTAAAAAAATTATAAATTGCTAAGCTCAAACATTTTACAACTTTTTTATGAAGAATAGTTGCAAACATACTGAAAAGGTAAATGATTGAAATTTTTTTAATTTCCCGTTATCTTCTCTAGAATATTACCTGCAGTCTTTTAAGTTTTTTAACATTTTGGTTAATTCCCATTAAGGGAACATGGTTTGTATGAATAAAAACAAACAATATAATCATATAATTTATTTCATATTCATACTTCAATCTAGTTTAAATTATTTAAAGACATGCAACATTTTATTGTTAATATTTCAGTAATAAAAAAAATATGATTATTAGATATATAGAAAGAAGAATATATGTGTTTTGGTTACCTAACTACAAACAATGTTATTTTTCATTTTTTATGCCCCGTAACTACAAGTTGGGGGGCATATTGTTTTACCACTGTCCGTCCGTCCGTCTGTCCGTCCGTCCCATTATGGGTATATAGTTATTCCAAATAACTCCTCCTACAGTATGAATGCTAGGAAGTTTTCACTTTGCTGGCTGTTTGTACATATATTGAAGGTGTGCATGTGGTCAGGGTTTTGATTTTTATTGATATTTGCTCTTTTGGAAGATAGTTGAACTTTGTCATTTTTGGAGTATATGCTATCATAAGAGATGCATAGCGTTTCCGGATAACTCCTCCTACAGTGAACAATAGACCTATGTGCTCCCATGCTCAACTTTGTGTATTTTGAAATAACACTTTGCATCTGCAGGGGCATCATTTGTGTCTCCCAGACACAATAATATCTCAAAGAAAGTCCTACATTGACTTTGTTATAATACAGTTAATTCAGAGTGGAGTGCGGTGGCATCACTTTGTCTAGTTTTTGTATGTTTTGGATTTTTGAATATTTTGACCTCGAGCATCACTGAAGAGACATTTTATTATCGAAATGCGCATCTGGTGGAATATAATTGGTACCGTTAATAGTATTATTAAGTCATCAATAAATCGAATTATATAAGCAGAGGGACATATATAAGTAGAAGTTGTGAGACAAGATACAACATTACAAGCATACGGTCAATCACTGAGCGCTGTTAAGGTATTTGTAAGAAAATGAAAAATTCAATATAGTTCGACTTGGAAATAAAACGGGTTAACAGCGTAAAAACATTCTTGATTTAAATCGCGGGTTTGATTCGCTTCTGTACTAATATAACGCAAGAATTGACATCTGGTGAAGCCGCTTTGGGTAAACAAAGTATCGAATGCAATTTGAACCAATTTCGGTTTTGGTGTAATTCAAATATATATTTTGTTTGTATCTATTTGTAAGGAACGGACTATGTGTTCTGTGCTATAGAAAAATCATTATAGTCTAAAATTGAGAACGCCTTTATGCTTCGAAGCGCGTAATTATTTTGAAGTAGATGTTAATACTTCAGCTATGTCAACTGTTGTCTAATTGGTTATATACAAATAAAACGTATTACAAAGGTACCGAACTCCACGGTAAATTTTAAAAAAGGGATCTCCATAAAAAAAACCTGACAAAATCAAACGTTATCAACCAACGGAATGAGTGAAAAACAACTGTCATATTCCTGACTTGGTACAGGCATTTTCCGAAGAAAATAGTGGGTTAAACCTATGTTAATACCACATAGCTAAATGTTAGATAGAGTAGATTGTTATCGCATAAAAAAAAACACCCACAACTCGTCCTAAACCGCTTATTACAATGTATTAAACTTTCACACAATCATAACCTATAATGCTTTTGTGCACCTCCTATTACGTTTTGGATCAAAATCATGTGTGGGCTCTCCCTTACCAAATCACGGACTTTGCCATTGCTTTATTTGGTTTGTACCCATTTTGTATCCGCAACTCTTCCTTAACCGCTTATTGCAATTTATTGAAACTTTCTCACACTCATAACAATATAAATCTATTCTGCAACTCCTATTTTGTTTTTTATCTCAGTTATTTTGGGGGTTGTACTCACCATAACATGGACTTTTCAAAGGGCGGGGTACCATTTTGTGAGCTTTGCTCACCTTAACTCTAGTTGAATCTATTATGCTAAATGTTCTCTTACTATTCTCTTCTTAGTTACTGTTTTTTTTTATTATCGTAATCAGAACGTTCAAACCCAAAAGTTTGAAAACTTTGGATGACAAATGCATCAGGAGATATGTGACCAAAAGAGACTGAAAGAGAATAACCCAATCCATATAAGGTCAATTTTGCCTGGGGAAGATTTAATCTTAGTTTCTAAACAAATAATGTCATAATATTTGTATTCCCCCCTTCCCCTTCTGGTAGAGATTTAACATTCGCTTCATTTCAACATTTTCGAGGTATTCTATATCATCCAATTTTCTCTCTCAGAAGTTTTATTTTAACTTTTCCAAACAAATCGCATTTCTTTTCAAAAAAGGATTTCATCAACTTTTTAACTTCTTTAGGCATTTTTCTATCCTTATACCGAAAATTACAGAAGTAGTTCAAACCTAAGTTTGCACTGAATTTATTTCACACCAGAGCCATCTGCTTAAAGTACTTCAATCTTTAAGATGATTCACAGTATCATAGATTCATATGTGTACTTGGAGGTTTAACAACATTTTGCAGTATATCCAAACATGCACGTTCAAAACTGCAAGTTTGATAGATTTTGTTGAAATTGGGGCAATTATTAAAAAAACGTTATGAGAAGAGCATCTTAACCAGAACCAAACTTCTGTTGAGAGTAACTTTATTTATTGTCTCTCAAACATAAATTACTTTATTTTGATTAAAAATGTCCTTCAAAGAAAACTTTTACAAAAGCATGCTTTTGGAATATAACTTGTTTTCAAACTCAATATATATAGTGCTAAGTAAAATTTTGCCGTTATGGAAATATGTATAATTGTTGAAAAATGCTTTTAGTTCCCGATGAAGATAAATCCAGAAAAGCGCTTCGGACGCATGCAATTTATAATATGTTGTTTTCATTTTTAACGGCACTGGATCGATACCACTGCTGGTTGACTATTAGTCCCCAAGGGTGTCATGAGCTCAGTAGTCAGTACTTCGGTATTGAAATGATTTATAACAAACCTTTCTAAAATTGTCCGTTTATTAATTTATGAATTATTAAGACACTAAGGTTTCATCTCCCTCGGTTAACGTTTGCCTTAGATCGATTTGGCTATTATTTTTAGGTCCTTTTTGGTCATATCGCTCTTCAACTGTTTCGGTTCTTTTATATCTTTTGCTTTCAAATATTCGGCTTTGGGCGCTCCTGATGAAGGTTAATCCAGAAAGCGCTTCGATCGCATGGAATTTATATAGTTTTTTTCTTCTTCATTATTTAAATTTTATTATACAACGTCTTAAATATTCAAATTCCAATAGACTTTGAACAACTTTCTAATGATGTCCCTGTGAGTGAAATAAATTAAGGGAAAACTTGCCTTTCCGCTTTGATGGTGAAATGGAGATTGTTATCGTTTTCTTCGAAAATCCAATTTTGGTTTGGGAAAATTCTACGCTTTTTTGCAGGCTATTTTAAATGAGGTGAGACATTTTATCACTATATTTGATTGGATACTCTGAACTTCAATGTCCGTTAGTTCGATTGGAGGGAATTTTTGTTACTAGCATCAAAACATATTCTGGCCAGATCAAATATTTGGGACTAATATTCAGGTTTTCAATATCTTTATTTGCCTAAAAAAGACAATATTTACAGTCTCGACCTCATTGACCTTTGACATTTCAGTTAAAACTATCCTCATCAATCAAATATTGGGCTGTAATTTTTGAGAGCTACATTCTTGAGAGAATTTTGTGTCTGAAACTTCAATGAAAAATGTATTGATTATCCTTACATTTTTGTTTAGTGTATATATGATATATATTTCAGTGAAAAGGGGTAAATTAAAATCTTTTTTAATCACAAATGTGTTAGTGTATCAAGTTTTATTAAGTAGCTGAACCAAATAATAATTAATTTAGCTATTAACTAAAACTATTTTTCTTTTATCTTTATAGATCCACCATGCCCTGATCTTGATCCAAGTTGTCATTTATGGCAGACATATTGTGCGCATAATGACTATGTCAGAGATCATTGTTTCAATACTTGCAACAACTGTACATATGCAGTACAGGGTAATACACATATGAGTTTTGGTCACGGATTTCGTCACAAGTAGATAGTTAGAGGTTTGTCACTTCCATAAAAGAATTGTACGTAAAGAATGAAATGCATTTTAAATATTTTAGGATCGATTTCAAAACAGCTTTGACCACCGAATTTGATGAATTGTGAATTTTACCTGGCGGTTGAACTAATCGTGATTAGCATTTGCTATAGATATCAATGCTCTTAAGTATAAAAACGTGAATCGGGGCATTCAAAAGGCGGGCGAAAAACTTGACAATCAAAATAAAACAAATTTTTGTGCATACACATTTTTAAAAACATAATTCAAAACAGATAAATCAGAATGAGATTAAAATAGTCATGTCACCTAAGAGTTAGATCATTAAATGATTCATAGATATTAAATTTCAAAATTGAAGATAACTTCAACTTTCAGATTACAGAAATTTAATGTTTCATCCAATAAGTTCCTTTATTCTTACTTTCAAATTCGGTCAGAATGAGAAAACATGTAATCATTACTTGATTAACGTAAAACGTCAAAATGGTGAACCAATTCAATGAAATAAAAACACGGGACAAGATACTAGACAAAGAAAGGGGAAACAATTCATTTGCAAGTGAACATATTGAAATCCCCTTATTTACCAAATAAAGTCCAAGCGACAAGTGTTACGCTTACCAAATATAACCCAAGCGATAAGTGTTACGCAGTAATTGTTGCCTAATACCAAATATAGCCCAAGCGATAAGTGTTACGCAGTAATTGTTGCCTAATACCCAATATAGCCCAAGCCATAAGTGTTACGCAGTAATTGTTGCCTAATACCTGTTCGACAATGAATCGATCCATCATAGCTGTTTTGCAATTCATCCAATTTATCTTAGAGTTTGGAAATTTTCTTTGAAAAACAAAAACAGAAAACAACAAAAATAGTCCAACGTACAATTTTTTGCATTACCCAGTATTTTTTTTGTTTTAACATTCAAGCCTGTATTTATAATGCTTTTGCAAATTCTTTTACACATCGTGTCCTTTTGCACTACTCGTTTCTAACTTGTTTATCCGACTTTTTATTATTCTGTCTTGTGTATTAATTTTTGAATTGATTTACTAACTTTCCCTTTGCACTGCTTTATCACACGACTAGTATGTTGTTTGCACACGTAATTTTTAGCAGTTAATAAATATAACAGAATAACACCATTTTATAATACAAAACTTAACTGTTAACAAGTTACTATCAAACATATCCCACTAACAATTACTCAAAAACAAATCTCAAGAGAAATCAACATCTTTATATAAATGTATGGTACATATTCAAGGGGATGGACATGTATTTCTGGCATAGCCTTATGCGTGTACTCTCGACACAAAATGTTTGAGAAGCATGGAAGCCAAAGAAAATAAAAAAAAAACCTAAACAGAACATCCAAACTCATTTGCCGTCATGTTTACCTGAAGCAGTCTCAACCTCAGTTTAAGTACATTTATTTATTGATAAACTTACACTATTAAATGAAAATAATATTGTTCAAATCGTACCATAACCGAAGCACTGGTTGTCTGGCGAATTGTCCCATCCGGTCTACCAGCAGCGGAACAGACCTAGTGGTAATAATATGAATGCTTGACTTAATGTAACTGTACACGACACATATTTTTGGGGAATGGCCTTCAGTTGGTACACTGGAGTCCAAAAAGTTAAGGCTTCAGGATATCACGTCTTACGGAAAAAATCTAAGTAATAAAAAAAATCGACATAGAGTAGATATTCATGCGACAACATCTGATAACTGATAGAGAAAATCCCAAAAATTGATAGAAAATAAAATAACACATACAAAAATACTCAATATCAAGAAACCAGAAATCTATGAATCGGTATTTTTCAAAAATAAACATTCTTCTTCACTTACCACTGTTTAAATTACCTTTGATGTACAATATTATAGTATTGGAATACGTAGCACTTTTCTTTTACAAGCTTGAGACCACTTTGATCTAGTATTGTCCTTTGAATCTGTTTCAAACATGCGTCAGTAAACTAAGCCATTACAATAAGAATTCACGAATTTCCTAAAAGTAAACTTAGCATCGCTGTTTCATAATTCTTTGCAATAACAAATCATTTTTGTTATTTGGTGTTGCTAATATGGTTTCATAGACAGTCTAGTTATGGCTATAATGAGAGGTATATTTAGATCCTTGAAATTGCAACTTGTCTACATGTTTAGTATTGTTATACATGGAATATCTGAGACAGAGACAAATCTATATACAGAAAAAATGTACCTATTTTGATTCAGTAACACCGCCACCAATAACAGGAGGTTTATTGAATATGTCATATTATCAGAGTAATTCAGCCCCCAAATATCAAAATGTATGCAAACATATTTGTATATTACTACAGCAAAAACAAACACTGCTTTTTGTTTGGCTAATTAATTGTCATGACAACATTTAATCAAAATTCATACAACAAAAACTAACAGTACACAATCAAATTATATGCAGTCAAAAAAATCTTGATGACGATTGTACTCTTCACTATATCACAATTGGCTGTTGTACTGAAGGACAATCCAATCAGCTGATGTACTGAACTGTTGTACTGAAGGGCAATCCAATCAGCTGATGTACTGAAGGGCAATCCAATCAGCTGATGTACTGAAGGGCAATCCAATCAGCTGATGTACTGAAGGGCAATCCAATCAGCTGATGTACTGAAGGGCAATCAAAAACTGTTGTACTGAAGGACAATCCAATCAGCTGATGTACTGAAGGGCAATCAAAAACTGTTGTACTGAAGGGCAATCCAATCAGCTGATGTACTGAAGGGCAATCAAAAACTGTTGTACTGAAGGGCAATCCAATCAGCTGATGTACTGAAGGGCAATCAAAAACTGTTGTACTGAAGGGCAATCCAATCAGCTGATGTACTGAAGGGCAATCAAAAACTGTTGTATTGAAGGGCAATCCAATCAGCTGATGTACTGAAGGGCAATCAAAAACTGTTGTACTGAAGGACAATCCAATCAGCTGATGTACTGAAGGGCAATCAAAAACTGTTGTACTGAAGGGCAATCCAATCAGCTGTTGTACTGAAGGGCAATCAAAAACTGTTGTACTGAAGGGCAATCCAATCAGCTGATGTACTGAAGGGCAATCCAATCAGCTGATGTACTGAAGGGCAATCAAAAACTGTTGTACTGAAGGACAATCCAATCAGCTGATGTACTGAAGGGCAATCAAAAACTGTTGTACTGAAGGGCAATCCAATCAGCTGATGTACTGAAGGGCAATCCAATCAGCTGATGTACTGAAGGGCAATCAAAAACTGTTGTACTGAAGGACAATCCAATCAGCTGATGTACTGAAGGGCAATCAAAAACTGTTGTACTGAAGGACAATCCAATCAGCTGATGTACTGAAGGGCAATCAAAAACTGTTGTACTGAAGGACAATCCAATCAGCTGATGTACTGAAGGGCAATCAAAAACTGTTGTACTGAAGGACAATCCAATCAGCTGATGTACTGAAGGGCAATCAAAAACTGTTGTACTGAAGGGCAATCCAATCAGCTGATGTACTGAAGGGCAATCCAATCAGCTGATGTACTGAAGGGCAATCAAAAACTGTTGTACTGAAGGGCAATCCAATCAGCTGATGTACTGAAGGGCAATCAAAAACTGTTGTACTGAAGGACAATCCAATCAGCTGATGTACTGAAGGGCAATCAAAAACTGTTGTACTGAAGGGCAATCCAATCAGCTGATGTACTGAAGGGCAATCAAAAACTGTTGTACTGAAGGACAATCCAATCAGCAATGTTTCAGAAGTAGCAGCTGGGCTATCCATAGTCTGCATAAAATCTAGTAAATTACGCTCCTGTTGTAATAATGTATTTCAAGGTGTAACCATGACGGTTGGATGTATGAAGCCTGGAGCATCTGAAAAATAAATAAGAAAAGCTGCAAACAAATATTAATTTCGAAAGTTCGAGGAGCGTGGGTCTATATTTTTTAATGTCTTCTCAGCTTGGTTTTCAAAGTAAAAGTAAGCTTTTAATATACATGGAGTTTTACGGTAAAACTATCACATGTTCAAATTAGTTTAACAGTAGCAGTAAAGGATGCCAAGTCCGTCAGTAAATGTATTTGTTAATTCAATAAACGAATGTAATCTTTATTTAATTGTATGATATTTAAAAGATCTTCTTTGTAATTGCAATATTTTTTTTTATATGAAATTGAATCATCCAACCTGTCATATTAGTTATTGTTATATATACATAGTTTATCTGAGTCTGAGACAAATATCAGTGGATAAATATGTACTTATTTTTTTCAGTAACACCACCAGCAAATGGATTAATACAATTACAGTCAACAACTACTACCACTGTAGCTCCTTGTATAGATAAAGACCAGTACTGTCCAGGATGGAAAAATTTGTGTTATACTGACGAATATGTCAAATTTAACTGTAAAAAATCTTGCACATTTTGTAAATAATTCATAAATCCTTCAACCTCATCTCTCTTTAAATAGATGTGTAGACTGTCAATCTGCACTGCATTGTTTCATGTTCATGTATTTGTTTACTCTACGGTGAAAATGGTCCTCTTGTTGTGTTGTCATTGTAATTGTGTTAAGATATGTTTGTACATTTTAAATCATTATTTAACTACATTCAATGAATAAACAATAATTACAATTTATTTGGTATACAATACCATTCATCCAGTAGTTCATCCAGTAACCAGTGGTGCTTTGATACAGACATGTGATGCAAATTGCGTTAAATTAATAAAGCAGTAACTGCTGTCCCAAGTTCAAAGGAGCATCTGAGTTCACATCAGACTTTTTGGTGGGGTTCCTTGTTTCTCAATCTTTGAATCTATTTTTCTGTGTATTGTTTGGTGGATTATATTTGTCTGAAATGTTTCTTTTGACCATGAAGCTGTCTGTTTCTTTGTCTTGTTATTTTTATTGACTCTTTGGTATCTTTTCTCCCTTTCGTAATTTAAAAAAATGAAATAATGTATTTAAACAAAAGTTTTGCACCCTTTTGCAAAGTTGACCCGATTTTTTTTTGTTACGCGTCAAACCGTAGTTTGATTATCATCGTAATTTTGGTAACGATCATAAGCGTGGATGCTAATAAAAGTTTTAGCATTACGGGTGTTACGGGTGTTACGATTTGTAAGTTTTAGAACACAGATCAAGTTTGAATTTTGGTGGCGTCACTTTAACCGTTCTAGAGTTATGCCCCTTTATAAATGGAAAAATTGCAGAATTTTTAGTTTCCGTTCTCTAACTTAGGTTTGCCTCAACCAAATATATGAAACTTATACACAATGCTTATTACCACAAAACACAGATCAAATTTGAATTTTGTTGGTGTCACTTTAACCGCTTATAAATGGAAAAATTGCAAAATTTTTAGTTTCCGTTCTCTAACGTAAGTTTGCCTCAACCAAATGTTATGAAACTTATACTCAATGCTAATAACCACAAAATACAGATCAAGTTTGAATCTTGGTGGCGTAACTTTAACCGTTCTAGAGTTATGCCCCTTTATAAATGGAAAAATTACAAAATTTTTATTTTTTTCTAAATATCAAGTAATTTTTTGAATTGGAGTTATCTTCCTTTGTCCATGATTATAGTTGAATCTTCAATCAATGCTTTATACAATGCAATGTTTAATTTTGACTTCCACTGATAAAACACAGATTAAGTTGAATTTGGGTAGTGTCACTTTAACCATTATTGAGTTATGCCCCTTTATAAATCGAAAGATTGCAAAATTTTTAGTTTCCATTCTGTAACTTAAGTTTGCCCCCACCAAACATTATGAAACCTATACACAATATTCATTTCCAAAAAACTAAGATTAAGTACAAATTTTTTGTTTCCGTTTTCTAACTTTAGTTTGCCTCAACCAAATTTTTATGAAACTTATACACAATGCTTATTACTATATAATACAGATTAAGTACGAAATTTGGTGGCGACACTTTTAACATTCTTGAGTTATGTCCTTTTAAAAACATAAAAATTGCTGAATTTTTCGTTTCCGTTTTCTAACTTTAGTTTGTCGCAACCAAATGTTATAAAACTTATACACAACCGTTCTAGAGCTATGCGTGTTTACAAATAGAAAAATTGCTGAATTTTTAGTTTCTGTTATCTACTTAAGTTAGCCTCAACCAAATGTTATGAGACTTACACACAATGCTTATTACCACAAAACTCAGATCAAGTTCAAATTTGGGTAGCGTCACTTTTATCGTTCTTCAGTTATGTCCCTTTATAACTATGATATGCCAGCGGGGGCATCATCTGTGTCCACATGTGGACACTATCCACATTTATTATTCCTATATCCATCATGTCACATTTTTCACATGAATAATAATAACATTGCATTTTCTTCTGAATGTACAGTTTTCTCTTATATATGTGTATCATATACATATATCTTTTTAGAATTATATATCAAATATACAGAACCTTTATATTCATATCAAAGGTTTCACAAAATACTTATTCTTAAAGTTTGGAAAAAAATGTCTTTTTAATTCCGTTGTGGAGTGTTCAATTGCATAATTTCAGATAAGACCAGCCTAATGCGAAATCAGAAGTCAACTGATTTAAATAGAAATTTTGAAATTCCGTTTTCATATGCCACTGAGCGGCCTTCAACAATGAAAAAAAATCAAACAGTATAGTCGTCTTCAAAAGGCCCCGACATGAAAAATGTGAAACAAATTTTCTTTTAAACTGAGTTTTACTGTGCGTATTGCTATGTGTTTCTTTATTCTACATTGGCTAGAGGTATAGGGGGAGGGTTGAGATCTCACAAAACATGTTTAACCCCGCCGCATTTTTGCGCCTGTCCCAAGTCAGGTTTTTGTTAGTCTAGTATTTTTTTTAATTTTAGTTCATTTATATGTTTTGGAGTTTAGTGTGACGTCCATTTTCACTGAACTAGCACACAATTTTATTTAGGGGCCAGCTGAGGACCACCTCCGGGTGCGGGATTTTCTCGCTGCATTGAAGACCCATTGTAGGCCTTCGGCTGTTGTCTGCTCTTTGGTCCGGTTGTTGTCTCTTTGACATATTCCCCATTTCCATTCTCAATTTTATTATCAGATGAGAAAACTAACGACCAAGGTTATAACAAAACAATTTACGAAAAACAAATACATGAACCAACAACAACCACTTAACTACGGCTCCTGGCTTAGGACAGGCACATAAAGAATGTGGCGGGGTTAAACATGTTTGTAAGTGCTCATCCGTCTCCTAACCTTGGACAGTGGTGTTACAGCACAACATAAGAATAAACTGTAAAAATCAGTTGCAATTGGATTAACTCCGAAGATCGGTACAAGGCATATAAACAACTAACACAAAACAATAGACACAAAGCACCGAAATAAGAGAACTCGCTGTCACTGAAAGCTAGTTCAAAGCCAATTACAAGTTAATAAATCATTTTCTCCAAAACAAAGGTATCAATCATTACACATCCAACAGTCTTAGAAACGCATGACCTTGTGCAATGCGAAAATATAAGTAAACAGTATCGACATGATGTAGGATCATATTTAACAATGTATATTTAATTATGTTTAAATTTTCAAAAACAAAATCAATGTAAATACTAATAAAAGCAGTATCTAAAGATTTTACAACTGTGTTGAATTGATAACCTTTAAGAATAAGTTTATTCAAATGATCAATTAGTTAACATATATCGTATCTTAAGGAGGTTGGCTTGTCATGTTTTGGATTTTTTGTCAGATTTTCGGAATCCTCTGGTTTCATTGATTTGAATGCCCTAAACCCCCTTAACCCCCATTATTCTTTTTATAAATCTTTTACATTTATAATTATAAATCATATGTAAAAGTCTTATAAAATCTTTATTATTTTTTAATAGTTTTTGAGAACTTAAACTTGCCAATGATAAAGCTATGAAAAATCAAGAGAGAATATTTTCCCGCCAAAATTTCAATGGCGAAAATCTCGAAAACAAGCACATTGACCTATATATTTTTGAATTTTGAATGGGTCTTTGTGTAGTTTAGGGAGTCAATACATAGTAGGGACTTTCAAAATTTCAGAGGAGGCTAAAGCTGACCTGTGGTAGTGACATGATTATTTACTATTTGACTCTCTTTGGAGCGCACAATCTTTAATGTTATTGAATGAATAATTTCATTCTTAAGGACTTTCGTGTAGTATTTACTTCATTCCACCACCACATTATTGGCTGCTTTGTCGGCTAAAGACAATCATTCAAATAAGACAAAAACTCGTATCTAATAAAAAGACTAGCATTCAAAACCAGCACGATATGTTCAAACAAGACAAAAAACTTATATTTGAAAAAGAATCATTTAAAAACAGCAGAGTATGTACAAATATATTTCAACTAATGACTAACATTAAAAACGAGTACAATATGTACAAATTAGACAAAACTAATCTTTAATTTAATCTAAACTAATCCTTAATTTAATCTTAAGTATATCATCCAAGACAAGCACAAAATGTACAAATAGGACAAACACTCATATTTAACCAAAAGATTCATTTTAAACCAGCACAATATGAGCAAAAGAAATAAAAACTTATTTTTGATGTATTATTTAAAACCATCACGATGTGTACAAATAAAACAAAAACAAGTTTTCCAATTTAATTAAATGGCCGTTATGATAATCTGAGTGCAAATGTATTTGCTGTAACTCATATAAGCTTTCTTCTCTAATGAGAAAGGTAAATATGCTTGATTTACTTACTGGAGATGTGATGAGATGATTAAAGCTGTAAATTTTCTCCTACGCAACATTTATGTACGTTTCGGCAATAAATACAATTTATCGATAGGTTGTATGTATTCATAAGGGCACAAATTGCGCCCCTTTAATATCAGACTTGTTCCTTTATTGTTATGAATCACAGTTTATGACCAAACTCAGTAAAAACCCATCTTAATTTCATTCAGTTAAGGTTCATGTGGACCTTACGGCTAAAATGGTTGTGTCTACATCTCAAAATTTACTCTGAGTACAGACAACCCTGTGCATCTGGAATTTTTTTAATGCATAGCATGCCCTAGATAAATAAAATTTAAATGCATTTTATGATTTAGAAAACGTTTTTTCGGTCCTACAATAGATGCCAAAATAAACAAAGTTGGAGAGAGATTTAAGACTTTCCCCACAGGTAATAGTTGAAGTGAACTGTATTGATTCACCTGTACAATAGAGGGACAAAAGGTATTGGACAACAAAAGTTGATTTAAACTGCGTCACTATGTGGACCATATCAAGTGAAACTCAATTGTTTGTTAATTTTATCATCTTCTGCAGGGACCAAAAAAACTGCACAGCAAAATCCAGTTAAGTTTTTAATTTTCTAAAACATAAAATGTATCTAAATTTTATTCATCTATGGCATTCTATGCCTTAAAACTATTCCAAATGCACAGGTTTGTCTGTACTCAAGAGTAAAGTTAATGTGTAAACACAGTCATTTAAGCCATTCGGTCCACACAAACAAATTCAACAACATTTGCAGTTATCTTGGAGATATTTTTTTGTTAAATAGTAAAGAATTCTCTAGATATACGGCCGAAATTTACCCAAACAAACTTACCTTAAAAATCAAATATAAACAGCAATAACTGTCCTTACCTAGA